CCCCCCTGGGGCCCGGAGCGGGCCCCATCGCGCCGGGAGCGGGCCATCCCAAGAGCCAAAATGGAGCCGACCACCCCACCCCACCCCAGGCGACGGCGTCGACCTCAACGACGGCGACGACGACGAGCACGGTGACGACGACGAAGACGGCGACGACAACGACGACAGCGACGACGACGAACGCGACAACGACGAAGACGACGACGACGACAACGACAGCGACGAAGGCGACGACGACGACGACGACGACGACGGCGACGACGACGACGGCGGCCTCAACGACCACGGCGACGACCACTTCAGCGACCCTTGGGCCGCACAAGGACGTACGAGCGCTATGCGTCCTCCTTTGAGGCGTGCGCCCGACCCAAACATGTGGTACGACCATCGTGTAGTAGTTTGTTTCCCAAGCGGTATGGCCAGAAAACGCCCGCCACGAAGCATATACTATACGATTTCTCGGTGCGCGCGTCGGCCAGTTGGGGGCGAAGCACACGTACAGCCGAGAAGATGATCAAGAAATTATCATTTAAGAAACCTGAGCCAGAGTCAGGGACATGTCTTAAAACAAGCCTGGGCACATGTCTGTTGTGAACGCTGGAGGGGGCGAACGTGCTGAAGAGACTCGGCCAGCTTTTTCCGTTAAGCTGGTTACGAAACGATGGCTCAATATTTCGGGAGGAGGTTTCTTAATCAGATGCTCGACTGTAGTAGTGGGGAAACCAAATTATGCCGATACCACTTCTCCTCGGACCTCGCCAGGCGTGCGACCTGAAAAGGACTTCGAGGTGAATCCAAGGGTGGCGACGAGGGCCCTCCCAGGAGGCCCAAAAAGGGGAAAACGAGGCGAAGGGTAGTATGGGTACCCTTTCCTCCTCTGAGATGCTCGACTGCACAAGCGGACCTAGGACAGACGAACATCCTTCAAGAAGATGCACACTCCCAGCCAAGAAAAAGATGAGCACTCGCGGGTACCCTTCCCCAAGGCGCACAATAACATTCAACAAACAGAAAGAACATTAGGGTACCCTCCCTGCACCGACCTCGATCTTATGCATCGGTCCGGCTGTACCTTTTTCCTCCTCCCAGATGCTCGACAGTAGTACAGTCGGGGCGCTGTCACAAGGAACCATAACTAAGGAACTAGGCTCCTTGATCATATCACTTAAACTTTGATTTCCTACAGGAAAAACAATCTAAGACAAGCTGAAGAAAGGTATGAGAAGCCCTGAGCCGCTCCCCAACGAAAAGGGTGCCTTCTTTCGGGGGCGTCCAAGAGGGGGTGTCCAAGAGGGGGGGCGCCAATCATGGCTGGCGGCATGTGCGCGGCCCAGGGGGGCGGGGCCGGGGACGCATTCAAATAAGGAGAGACGCCATGACATCTGGGTAGATCTCGTGGCCCCCGCCATATTCCCCCCCGAATCATCACCCCCCTCTTGGCCGCCCCCGATTCTTCAGCGGCCCGACTGTATGCAGGAGAGCCCAGGATCGAATCGGTAAGTCGGATCGGCGATCGAACTGCATCGGATCGGCGGAAATCGGCAGTCGAGTTGGAGCAGTCGGAGCGGCAAGCATCGGCAGGCTGATAGGCCTCCGTGGAGAACCCGGAGTCCAGATCGGAATCCGAAATCGCATCGAATCGGAATCGCAACTCCAAGGAATCGAATCGCATCGAAGGAGGGACATCGGAATGCGCCCTGCTGTATGCTGGGTCACGGCCACGGCAGGCCACGGGTGTCCTGGGACCTGCCCCCTCTCGTCCGACCCGATGGTCGCGGAGGAGGAGGAGGAGGAGGAGGAGGAGGAGGAGGAGGAGGAGGAGAGGAGGAGAGGAGGAGGTGATGAGGAGGAGGAGGAGGAGGACCACTGGGCCCGAATGGCGCGGCTCACGGCCGCGGCGGCCGGCCGCGGCGTCCAGGCACCCCCCCCGCCTGCGAGGCGGCGTGCTCCGCGCCCAGCGGCGCCCGCCGCGGGGCCGTGGGCGCCGCGGGCCTCTGCCGGGCCAGGGGGGGGGGAAGGAGGGAGGAGGGAGGAGGAGGAGCAGGAGAGGGGGGAGGAGGGAGGAGGAGGAGGAGGAGGAGGAGGAGGAGGGAGGAGGTTGGAGGAGAGGGGGAGGAGGGGGAAGGAGGGAGGAACGGGAAGGAAGGAGGAGGGAGGAGGTGGGAGGAGAGGGGGAGGAGGAGCAGGAGGAGGAGGAGGCTTTTGCGTGGGCGTGGGCTGGAGGCAGGAGGAGGAGGAGGAGGAGTAGGAGGAGGAGGGATGAAGAGGGGAGGGGGAGGTGGAGAAGCAGGAGGAGGGGGAGGAGGAGGAGGCTCTTGAGTGGGCGCTGGCCCCCCTCCTGTTACTCTCTCTCTCGTGCTCCATTCTTCTCCCTCCCCCTTCAATCCGTCCTTTCTTCCCCCATTTTAGGGGCTGCGCGTAACCCCTAACCCGTGAGAATAAACACTAGGGGATAATAAAGTTCGGGGTAGCCCAACAGACCTCAGCATGATCTCGAAGTAAGAGATGATCTAGAGAAGCCAAGCCGAGCACGTTTTGAGACATCCTTGGCGCTTAGTCTCCATAGAAATATCATCAACAATGGCTTATCTCGCTGGAGACATCCTCAACAAATCCCTTGTTTCGCTTGAGACATCCACAAACTATTGCTTATTTCGCTTGAGACACCGTCAAATTATTGCTTATTTCGCTTGAGACATCCTCGAAATAATTGCGTTTTTCGCTTGAACCATCCTCAACCAATTGCTGATTTCGCCTGAAACATCCTGGAACTATTGCGCATTTCGCTTGAGACATCCACAAACTATGGCTTATTTCGATTGAGACACCCTCAAACTATTGTTTATTTCGCTTGAGACATCCTCGAAATGATTGTGTTTTCGCTTGAAACATCCTTCAACTATTGCTGAGCTCGCCTGAAACATTCTGAAACTATTGCGTATTTCGCTTGAGACATCCACAAACTATTGCTTATTTCGTTTGAGACACCCTCAAACTATTGCGTAATTCGATTGAAACATCCACAAACTATTGCTTATTTCGCTTGAGACACCCTCAAACTATTGTTTATTTCGCTGGAGACATCCTCGGAATGATTGTGTTTTTCGCTTGAAACATCCTCAAACTATTGCTGAGTTCGCCTGAAACATCCTGAAACTATTGCGTATTTCGCTTGATACATCCACAAATTATTGCTTATTTCGCATGAGACACCCTCAAACTATTGTTTTTTCGCTTGAGACATCCTCATACTATTCCTTATTTCGCTGGAGACACCCTCAAACTATTGTTTATTTCGCTTGAGACATCCTCGAAACGATTGCGTATTTCGCGTGAGACATCCTCATAATATTGCTTATTTCGCTTGAGACATCCTCGAGCTATTGCTTATTTCGCTTGAGACATCCTCGAAAAAATTGCGTGCTTCGCTTGAGACACCCTCAAACTATTGCTTATTTCGCTGGAGACATCGTCAAACTATTGTTTGAGGCATATTCAAACTATTGCGTATTTCGCTTGAGACACCCTCAAACTATTGCATATTTCGCTTGAGACACCCTCAAACTAACTTGCTTATGTCGCTTGAGACATCCTCGAACTAATGGTGTTTCGCGTGAGACATCCTCAAACTATTGCTTATTTCGCTGGAGACATCCTCAAACTATTGCTTGAGACATCCTGAAACTATTGCGTATTTCGCTTGAGGTATCCTCAAACTATGGCTTATTTCGCTTGAGACATCCTGGAACTATTGCGTATTTCGATTGAGACATCCTGGAAATAATTGTGTGTTTCGCTTGAGGCTTCCTCGAACATATGCTCTTTTCGCTTGGGTATTGTTTATAGTTCTCGAGGGCGCATGCTCGCGGTTAAGGCTTCATGCACGCGAGCTCGAAGTCCTTGGCTGCCCTCGACAAAAAGCCTTTGTGGCGCACTTGCTCGAAGTGCTCGCCCATACAGGCTCGGCAGCCTTTACTGCCATCCTTGAGCTGCAAGCATTTCTTGCACTCCTTGGCTGCTTGCAGTGCTGCCTCGAGGTTGGCGTGCTTGGGCTCGGGCACGAACGGATCCGGCGCCTTGCCCTTGGCCGTGGCCTTGGCCTTGCCCTTGGGCTTGGCGTCGCTCGCGTTCTTCAGCTTCTCGATCCACTCGTTACCTCGGGCGCAGATGTCGCTGATGCTGCTTGGTGGCTGGCGGCCCTCGCCGCGGAGCTCGCGCAGGGCGCGCTCGAACCACCTCGTCACCCACAATCCGCAGGACCACCCATCCACTTGGTATCTCGAGTTGCTCGGAGGGGGGCGCTCCACCTCAGGCCCAAAGAGCTTGCGCAGGATTCTCGTGGCCGCCTCCTTGGCGGACTCGGACGGCACCTTGAGAGAGTCTCGGTACTCGATGGCCACGTCCTGGAATTCCTCCTTGGCCACCTTGAGGTACGTGTAGTGCATCGGGTTGTCGGACCAGACGCAGATGAGCAGAACCTTGGCGTTCTCGATCCTCTCGCGCCAGGCCTTCTGCTCCTCTTGCGCCTCGGCGGTGGCCGCGTCGTCGCCATGGTCTTCTCGAGCCCAGAGAACAGCAATCGTCGGCTCGATTAGCTCGACGCCTGGCGGCTGGCCAACTCGTTCCGCGATCTCGCCAATGAAAGCCTCCATCGTGCCGAGCTCGAGGGTCATGTTCTTCTCGACGAACTCGCAGCTGGTGATGGCTAGGTGCTTGGCCAGCTCGGTGCGCCTGGCCTTCCTCAGGGTTCGGCAATCCATCTTGGCGGGCTTGGCCTTCGCCCACTCCTCCTCGACCACGACCTCCCAGGCTCGAGGGCCGACGGATGGGGGCGAACTCCGCTCGGTTTCCGCTGCCCTTCCGCTCGGCTTCCGCGCGAGTTCCCTTCCGCTCGGTTTCTGCGCCAACTTCCGCTCGGCTTCCGCTGGCCCTTCTGCTCGGCTTCCGCTCGCGCCCCATTAGCCCTCGAGCCTGGCTGGAGCGGATCTGGAAGATCGCCGGCGTCTCGACCTCGAGCACTCGGAACTGGTACTCGCCCTCGGTGTCCATGACGCTCCAGACGTCTTGGATTCTCCCGCGCCTCCCCTCGTGGACGCACTCCTCGTTGACGCGGATGCTCTCGCCGTGCCAGGGCGAGTCCTTGCACTCCTTGAGGCCCGCTTGGCCTCTCTTCTTGTCCTGGGCGCTCTGGTTCCGCTTGGCCTTCCCCTTCTGCTTGAACTTCTCCGCGAAGCTCCCCATCGGCTTGGGGGCTCGCCCCGACAACTTCGCCTTGGCGATGCCTCGGCTCTTGCTGTCGAGGGCGTCTCGGCCACCCTGGTTGCCTTTCGCCTTGTTCCACTTGGCCGCTAGCTTGCCCACGTACTGGCTTCGGAACTTGCTCGCCCACTTGTTCTTGCGGTTGATTCGCCGGTGGCGCACTCGGTCCGTGAGGGCGCGCGGGAACTGGATCTCCTTGATGCGCTCCTCGGGCGGCCTGAGCATGTCTCGCTGCTCGTCTGTGAGCTCGAGGTGTAGCTCTGCAAGCTCGAGGGGGCAGGGGTTCTCGTCGTCCTCGTAGTCCTTCGGCAAGTCCTCGACTCGGAAGCACTCGCCGTCCAGTGCGCTCCAGTCGGGAATCGGGGGGACGTTCTCGGGCCAGCTCGCAACCGCGTCGAGTCTCTCCTTGGCCAGTCTCGACTCGATGCCTCGGCCAGGCTCGGTGGAGTAGCTCCACGGCTCCTTGCCTGTGACGACCTTCAGCTCGGTCTGCTCGGTCGGCCTCGCCGCGGCTCCTCCCTCCTTCTTCTCCTCCTCCTTATCCTCTGAGACATCCTCGTCTACTTGTTTCGCTTGAGATATCCTCGACGAATCACTCGTTTCGCTTGAGACATCCTCGTCGAACCTCTCGGTTCGCATGAGACATCCTCGAGCAATTGCTGTTTTCGCTTGAGACATCCTTAAGAAACGTATCGTTTCGCTTGAGACATCCTTCAGTATATGCTTGTTTCGCTTGAGACATCCTCGAGTATATGTTTGTTTCGCTTGAGACATCCTCGGAATAGCTCATCCACCTCGGTGTCCCTGGATAATCAACCGCGGCGATAATAAAGTTCAGGCGGGCGGAGGAATGGAGAAAGCGATATGCAAAAACACAAATAAAAAGAAACAATAAGAAATTAAAAAGAACAAGGAAAAACAAACAACAAGAAAAGAAAACAGAGGGGGGGTGGAAAGAGAAGGACAAATCTCAAGTTCAAATGTATTAGATTTTATTTTCAAGCGCTTTATGAAAATTAAATGTTTTAAGTGCTCGTGTAGGGTAGCTCATGTGCTTCATTTTCCATGGATAATCAACCCCAGGGATAAAAAAGTTCAGAGAGGGGGGGGGGCATGAGAGAGAGAGAGAGAGAGAGAGAGAGAGAGAGAGAGAGAGAAGAGAGAGAGAGAGAGAGAGAGAGAGAGAGAGATAGAGGAGAGAGAGAGAGAGAGGAGAGAGAGAGAGAGAGAGGAGAGAGAGAGAGAGAGAGAGAGAGAGAGAGAGAGAGAGAGAGAGAGAGAGAGAGAAAGAGAGAGAGAGAGAGAGAGAGAGAGAGAGAGAGAGAGAGAGAGAGAGAGAGAGAGAGAGAGAGAGAGAGATAGAAGAGAGAGGAGAGAGAGGAGAGAGAGAGAGAGGAGAGAGAGAGAGAGAGAGAGAGAGAGAGAAGAGAGAGAGAGAGAGAGAGAGAGAGAGAGAGAGAGGGAGAGAGAGAGAGAGAGATCAGAAAGAAAAAAAAGGAAGGACCTAAAAAGAGAAGATGCATTTAAAAAGAGAAGTAGAATAATAAATGAAAAGGATAAAGAGAAGAGGAAAGGAGGATACAACAAAAAATCTGAAGACTCAAATGTATTAAATTTTATTTTACAAGCGCTTTATGACACATAAAATGTTTAAGTGCTCGCGTAGGGTAGCTCACGCGCCTCACTTTCCGTGGATAACCAACCCCAGGGATAAACAAGTTCAGGGGCGCATGGGGAGAGATAGAGAAAGAGAGAGAGAGAGAGAGAGAGAGAGAGAGAGAGAGAGAGAGAAAGAGATAGAGAGTCAGACAGAAACAAAAACTAAGAGAAACATATATAAATAAAAAGGAACAAAAGATAAACATGAAAAATGAAAACAAAAGGAAGAAGAACAAATGAAGAGGAGAAGTAGAAGAGGAGAGGAGAACGATTGCTTAGTTATTTTGCTGGAGACATCCCCAAATTATTGCTTGAGACACCTTCAAACTATTGCGTATTTCGCTTGAGAATCCTCAAACTAATGCATATTTCGCTTGAGACACCCTCAAACTATTGCTTATTTCGCTTGAGACATCCTCGAACTAATTGTGTTTCGCGTGAGACATCCTCAAACTATTGCTTATCTCGCTGGAGGCATCCTCAAACTATTGATTGAGACATCATAAAACTATCGTTATTTCGCTTGAAATATCCTCATCTCATTGCTTATTTCGCGTGAGACATCTTCAAACTATTATCTATTTCGCTTGAGACATCTCAAATTATTGCTTATTTCGCTTGACGCAACATCGAAGAAATGCTTGGGGTCATCTTGGGATCCTTCTCGGCAATCCTCGAAGGGTTTTCTTGAATTCGCTGGGGGGTGAAGCTCAAGGCTCGAGATCTTCCTCTTCCTTGTTCTCCTCTCTCTCCTCCTCCTCCTCGCCGAGCGACTCCCTCTCCTCCTCCTCGTCCTCCTCCTCCTCCTCTTCCTCTTCTACTCCTCCGTCCATCCTCCTCCTCCTCCTCCATCTCCTCCTCCTCCTCCTCCTCCTCCTCCTCCTCCCCCTCCCCTCCTCCTCCCCCTCCTCCTCGTCCTCCGCCTCTCCCGGCCTCGCTGCGAGCATCTGGTTCGCTTACATGCCTTGCAGTGGGACGGTCTCGGCGTTCCTCTCGCGGAAGCGCTTGCACGCCTCGGAGATGCAGTAGATGCACTCGTATGGCCCCCAATTGCTCGGGTACTTGTAGTTCTTCTCGGGCTCGGCCTTGACCTTCTGCATCCAGTCTTGCTCGATCGCCCAGTGGATCTCGGACTTCACCTCGCGAATGGTTGCCTTGAGCTGCGAGTGCTCGCGCGTGTCGGGTTCCTGGAGGAAGCTCGTCACGTCTGGAGCCATCGGCGCGCAGACGATCTGCTTGAGCCGCGCTCGGAGCACGACGGCCTCGGCCCACTGGCTCGAGAGACAGTCGGCGAACACGAGAGCTTGGCCGCGCTCGGCTTGGATAAAGTCGATCGTCCAGCTCGCGATGAGCTCGTCGGCCCAAGCTCGAGGCTGGCCCCAGATGTCAATCTGCTCGAAGATCTTGGCGCACTGCTCGGGGTCGCACTCGAGGAGGGCTTGGCGCCAACCCTTGAGAATATTGCCGATGTTCTCGCCTGCTCGGAAGACCTCGGCCTCGCCGTCGCTTCGTTCGTAACTGACGTCACGGAGCCACTTGCCGCTCTCGAGGTCCATATCGGAGATCTTGCAGTGCCTCGCACAGGGCACTAGCAGGATCGAGCGCTTCTTGTTCGACTTGGGGTCCTTGGTTGGGTCGAACCAATTCGCGACGCTCGATATGTTGATCATCGTGAGGCGATACTTGTCGCCTGCGCTGTAGTACGCTTGCTCTACTTGCTCCTTCTGGTCGCCGTGCTCCTGGTAGAACTTGGTGTTCTCCATCTCCCAAGCTGCCTTGTCTGCCTCGGTCTGCGTCTCGCGGAACTTGCGGCGGAGCTTCTCGAGTCGAGCCTTGTGGCTAGGACCCTCGAGCTCGTTCGCGTGGAGGTAGACCTTCTCCTCGCCCCTGAGCTTGAGCCACAGCGCGGTGGCGTCGACCACAACGACGCTCGTGGCTTGCCTGTTCTCGATGAAGCTCTCGGTGTCCCCGACGAACATGGCGAGTTCCTCGGCCGTGCCCCTGGAAACGAGGTGGATGAAGCGGTCGCTCGTGGCCCACGTCAACTTGGCCTTGGTCTCGGAAAGGCCCTTGTTGCGCTGCTCGGAGAGGCGTTGGCCTTTCCGTCCGACTGCTTGGAGCCTCGGGAGAACGGTCTCCTCGATCCACTTGGCGTCCTTGCGGCAGAGGTTGTTGATGTTGAAGGTCTCGAGCCGCCTGGTGACTCGGTTGAGGATCTGGGAGTTGAAGACGACGTGGCTCGCGTCCTTGAGGTGCTCTTGTTTGTCTCTCTCCCACTCGAGCTCGTACTTGAGTCTCGTTAAGATCGTCTTGTTGCGGACCTCGTGGCCGTGCATGCGCTCTCGTTTGAACCAGGCCTCGAGTCGGCCCATGACTCCCTCGAGGGGGCGCTTGGGGCATGCTCGGCCACGAGTGTAGCTCTGGATCCTCGCGCCTTGGCCCCTGTCTGCCTTGGCCTGATAGGCCCGAACTCGGCCGCAGGCTCGGAGGCCGTTCTTGCCGAGCCTCTCCGTGGCGACGACCTTCTCGAAAGCTGCTCTCTTCTCGGTCCAGCTCTTGA